AGGACATAAATGCTTCAAGTTTGACGATTCTGCCTCGATGACGATTCTGCCTCGACAGAGGCTTTCTGATCTCCAACGACAAAATCAGCAGTGCGCCGCAGGTAGCCAACGGCGATGTCGTCCCACGTCTTCTGAAGCGCTAACTTCAGAGCACCCACCGAGCTGCAGAAGCCTTCTTGGTTCCTGCTCGAAATCCTCACATGGAAAACTCTATCGGATCAGAGGCTCGTGGAGAGAAAAGACACAAATTCTTGCTCAAGGGAAGTGCGCGGCCAGAACGGCGTTGATCGATTTCGAAAGCGTATTAGCGAGCCCAGCTTCATTGGGGAAGCAAACGGTCATTGATTCAAAATGCTCGTAAATCCAGAACAACATGCCGTTCCTCAACGTAGTCTTTCGCGAGACACTTGAATTAGTTTCAACTAGTTACTAAGTTAAGTTAGTTTTTCAACTAAGTTTCCACTTATTGAAGATGAACACCAGTGAAGCTTCACCTTGTGGATAAGATCCCAGTCCCGAACGATCATGTCTTCAGGAAAGTCTGTTGTAACTCAAAAATCGTCTCGGTGACTTGATCTCATGTTCTGACGATAACTGCCTGTGATTTCGACGGTTGAGAATGAGTTACATTCAAAAAATTTCTCGCAAGCTCGTCTCGAATTCGCGCAGAATTTTTTTGAGTTTCATCTGTTGATTTGGTTCGGATTGCTTCGATAAAAATTACGATTGATGGAGACGGTCGCTCTTCAGAATGGATTTGCTTTCCGATATGTGTTGGTTGGACTGACGGCAGATCCTGAGATCAAAAGCGATGTGACTCACGCTGGCTTCATCGTTGTGAGTGGCCCTCTTCTAGGTGATTGCCCCAATCCTCTGAGTGTGCACAGTTCTCAACCTTCCACTTGTTGCGATCCCAGAGATGTGTTCTTGAAGCTCGAGAGCAGCGAAGATGTTTTGAACGAGTAGAAGAGGGAATGTCGAGTCGCCCTGCGGAGACGCGGTTTTGGAGGCCGTCCTTGTTCAGTCTCTTGGTTATGGGTCGGTGCGAAAAAACTTCATAGCGAGAGTTCAGATGAACTTTGGACCAAACAACTTATGGTGCTTCTTACATAGTTTCAAAGCTTTCGAAGAGTTTCGAAACATTTGAAAACACTCCACGGCTCAGTGCAGCAAGCGCTCAAAATCGCATCCTATACTTTTCGCCACCTTGTATATGGATGTCGGAAGGACAAGCGATGTCCAAAGCCTCATAGTTAGGTTGTTGAAAAGTGCAGCAGTCTCAAACAGTGCAAACTCAACGATGTGTCTGTCCAACGACCTTCCTGAACTTCCTGAGCTAGGATCACGACCTTCGCGCATTTTCGCTTTCTAACTCCATTTAGGTAACTCAGCGTCCCAAGACAAACGCAACGATGCATAACTCATTTCAAATGGTCAGAATGACTTTTTGACCTTCCTTGTTAAGACGGACAGATAGATAGCCACATATCAATATCAAGATCTCGTGCATCATGCTTGGACTGGACGTTCTCAACGGCAGGCGACAGGCAGATAGACATTCAGACAGGCAGACAGACGGAATAGGCACTTCGCAGTGAATACAATAGCATTTTTCCATTTTCCAAAATTTGCATCAAGCGAAGCTTTATGCTATTTTCAGCACTGACATGGAAGACTTACACGCTGTCGTGCCCCCTTTCTCTTCCACTAGCCGTTTTCACCCGAAGCAATGTAAGTGACTAGACTTTTGCCTAATATGAATAGTTTGTTTTTAAAGGTTTGGTTTTTAAAGGCGGTTTTAACCTTTAAAAACTTCTTTGAAAACTTTTTTAAGCATTTAAATACGCATTTCGCTGCTAATACGTGTTTTAAAGAAATACTGTTTTGCTGCGTATTGCAGCTGAGTAGAACAGAACACTGTCCCGCTGGAACGCTAACCCAAATTTGGGCTCAAAGAAGGGCGGAGCGAAACATTGTCGGCCATAACTCACCACTACTGCAATCACTTTTGCCTCTCATGCGGTCGATAACAGGGATGAATGGAGCAACGAAACAAACACAGAAAAGTGTTGGCTCTTTGTGAAAACAAATCTGAAAATATATCAATTAGAGAGGGGAACAGGAAGAGCAGAAGAAGAAGAAGAGAGAGCGGAGTTTGACTAGAAGGTGACTGGAAGAAACAGAAAGTGGAAATAGGCAAGTACTCCCTGCACGCATCCGAACAATTTTGCGCTCCAGCCAAGTTGTATTCGCTTTTCTAAGTTGCCGTAAGCTCTGCACCTCCAGAGTTGAAGCCGGCTATCGAGAAATCGCCAGATGCACCCTCTTCGGAGTAACATTCGTTTTCTTTATTAGAAGGAGAAAGACAGATTCTGAATGCAATAGACTATGCATTTTAGAACTATGTTAGGTTCTTTACAGGCGTATTTTGCAGCGCAAGATTTTCTGCAGAAGGAATTTCGAATTTCGAAAATAATATGCGAGTTTCACTCTCTGAAGTGGTGTGTTGAGTTGAGGTGGTGTGCATTATTTCTGAGCTGGGTGCGGTGCCAAGAAGCACATCTGGCGTGGCATAATGACAAGAGCCCATGCCGAAGATTGTTAGCTATCTAGCTGTCTAGCTGGTTGGATATCAAAGCTAGCTAGTCGATATCGTAGTGCATGGAACCTCCGCCATGCTTTCCATGCCACCGCACTACTCAGGCAAACCACGAGCCATAGCTTTCAACAAGAGCTGTACACTTGAAATTCACCCCAATTAGTTTCAACATTTCATTACTTCATGCCAGTTGGAACGCTCCGATGCTGACGTCTTACTACCCCCTCCGATCGAAGCCAATGCACCACCCTCCCCCCTCGAGGGTCCTCGACCATTATAGACTTCCATGTTTAGAGTCACTGCTGGAGGTATAATGAATATTATAATGTATTTATAATATGAATCCTTGAATCAAAGGCACGAGTCGGGATTGAATTGACGGGTTATTTATGTTTGAAACTTAGGTAAGGAGCGCAATGAGAATATCAGGAAGAAAAGCAAAAAGCATAGAAAACACTCAAATTTCCGTTAAGAAGCCAGCCGTGGTATGGCGGAGAGACACAGCGCTGCGAGGAAGAGGGAAGAACGCGAGATAGTACGTCATACGCGAGAGCGCGCGGAGAACACGTATTCTGTTTTTGATAAGAATGGCGGCAAGACAACACACAATCAAGGCCTCCTGCCCTTGGGGATCCCTCCTTCTTCTAAAAGTGATTGGCTCTTAGGCGTAACCCCGACTCGTGGCTTTAGGTCTGCCACACCAACTCCCGCCGTGGCTTCAAATGGTGCGCTTCGTGAACACAAAGCAGATGGTCGTCCTTTGGTTTGTGTCGAACAGGTCCGACCGCTGCTTCAAGGAAGTGGTCAGAAATTCCTATAAGGCGATAGCGAAAGTGGCATAGTAGATTGGGTGGGGTCTACCCAATAGACAAACAAGTGACGCTTCAACGGCAGTGGCGCCTTATCAACGGCGTGATAAGGCGCCGAAACCCACTTCTGGTTTGGCGTTGGTCCTCCTTATCAGACGTGGAAGGGGACAAGCAACAGCAAGACGTGCAACGGCAGCATGCTAGATATGATACTCTTATCGTTATCGTTCGATGCTGGAGTGCACCTCATTCCAAGCAGCCGTATCTTCTTATCTAATCGTATCGTATCTTCCATAGGGTTACACTCGTCCAAACACTATCTATCTCCGACCTTATCGGTTGATAACGCGGAGTTCGGCGATGCACGTGGAAGCCAGCGTGACCGCTTCCTTTAAACGGAACAAAGCCTTCCATAAATGCACGGCTCGGGATCCAACTAGGAACAAATAATCAAATTATTTCGCTCAAAAATTAGGCGAGTGCGATTAGGATAGTAGAGGGGGGAAGAAGTATCATCTAAGAAAACAATGAAATTTTCCCATGGGTGTTGGCCGTGCTATGCGCAGGAAAGCGAAAACGCGAGAGGGCATGGCGCAGCGCGGACACCATGTATGCCGCAATTGATAAGGGTGGAAGCACGGCAGCACACAAGACAGGGTTCTAGTTCCATTGTCTCGCATTTTCGAGTCGAAATTGTCGTGACTTCTGGGATAGGAACCACACTTGCACTCGAGGGGCTAGGAGCTCAAATCAATGCCGACCTGGCTTTAAATACTCTTCCGATCTTTTGGGAGAGAAGGTAGAAATTGGAGGAGAATGGATGTGTAGGCACGGAAAACAACATGCAAAAGTGCTAGCTACCTACAGTTGATGACGTGGATGCTGCTTCAATAGATATGTTCTGGAATTTTGTTTTTTTAAGGT